CACACACACACACACACACATTTTATCCTGTTAACACTATTATTATCCCCATTTTATAAATGAGGAAACTGATGAGGGAATTTTAGTAACTTACTCAAGGACACCCAGCTAATGCGTGACAGAGTCAGGATTTAAATCCAGGAAACTTGATTTTGCTGCTCTTAATCACCCTATTGTCCTGCCTCAAATCTGTATGGTGCTGCTTTGGGATGCCATGCAGAATACAGACACTCCCAGGAATTGTTTAAACACGCCAAAGCAACACTAATAGATTTCTGTTGGCTTTTGCTCACAGCTGCCCTATTCACTTGGGATTTCGGACATTGTGCAATAAAAGCCTTACTAATTTCCCAGTAATAAATTATAAGAGAGCCAGACTGCTGAAGGGAAAGGTCTGGATTAAATAATGATTCCATAAATTCCACATTATTATTAATGGTTGTAGTGCCTCCCATGTGGTAGCATGTTTCTTTCCCTCTGTTGTCACATCTGTGATCTCCTCTAATAGCCAAGGGTGGTGGAAGTAAAGCAGATATGTATATCTTCATTTCTCAGATGAGAATATTGAGGTTCAGAGTTCAAGTGACTTGGCAAAGTCACACACTTGCTACTGCACAGGAGTTAAGGGATGACAGAATATTCCTAGGTAGGAGATGATACAGGACCTAACATATCAACTAGGAGTTTCTAATTAGACACAGACTTAAAATTAGTGGTCTACAATCCTTGAACAAAGTTTGCTCTCACACACATATTTGCAATTTGTTTACTCTATTTGTTTTTCTAATTAAGTCTTATCTATAGAGATTCTGTAGCTAGGTAAATTCATACAGAATCTGATTTTGCAGAGACAGAAATTGTGATGGAGGTTTCATTTAACATTTGTTGATCGGAAAGCTAAGTATGGTCCCATCACATGCACTTTCCCGCCTGTCTTCTCTTAAAGCAGCCTTGAGAGTCACACTTTCCCAGAAATATGACTGCAAATCGGTTTTCTCTTTGCAGCCTGTGCAAGGCTTTGATTATGCAAAGCAGCACCTGGGCCAGCAAGGGGCCGACGAGGAGGTCATCCCTGTGACCCAGGAGACGGTGGTCCTCCCACTCCCTGTTAGAGATGCTCCTGCCTCGCAGGAAAGGGACGTCCTCCAGGACGGAAGCACCATCAAGACGGCCAAATCCACTGAAACCAGAAAGAGGTAGGGACAGCGCCAACTTCTGCCTCTCCGAGCCAGCAAGAGCAATAATTGATGGTGAGAGCAGCCAAGGCCCTCAGGTTAATTCCACTATTCTCTTTAACAATTCCCCTTCATGCTCATTTGGAAGATTTGAAAACGAGAGTATGCGAGATGAGCAGAATCCCAATACCTGCTTCTCATGAGCCACGTAAGGTTTTGTATCACAGATCAACCACAACAGCAGAGATTTAGCTTGTATTTATTATAATACATTTGGCACTGATGTCACACTTATATTTTTAAACTTATCTTAAAAGTGTTGCCTTTGATTCAGCATATGTAGCTGTATTTTATCTGGCAGTTTCTCAATAGTTTATTATTTTAGCTCAAAAACCATTTGTTGAGATTTTACTATGAGCAGACTACATTGACAGACATTGGGAGGACTACGAAGAGGTTTAAGATTGACTCCTGACCTCAAGGATCTCATGATGGGGAGACAGAAAGATAAATAGCTGGCTTACCAAGAATAATATGTGGGCGCCAACCATGGAGTCTGAACAAAGTGCTGTGGAAAAAAGAGGAGGAAGAACTTAATTCTGATGAGGGAAAGCCTCATGGAGGAGGTTATGTTTTAGCCGGGCCTTGAAGGGGAGTCGGGTGTCCATAGGTTAGAGGAGACAAAGGCATTCAGTCTGAAAGCTCTGGGAGAGGTAAGGGACAGCCATGTTCACTTAATGGTGAATGTCCTGGAGTTTAGAGTTCACAGTGGCTGGGATGTAGTGAAGGATAAAACCAGAAGATCGATTAAAATTGTGGAGGGTTTTAACTGCCAGGCTAAGAAGTTTGACCTTTATGCTCTAGGCAATGGGAAACCACTAAACGTCCTTTAGGAAGACAGTAACATCCAGCCTGTGTTTAATAGAAAGCTGACTCAGGTGGCAATGTGGATAATAGATGGGAAAGGTTAGGCTAGAGGCCAGGAGACTCATTATAAGGACTTTGCAATGGCGTTATAAAGAGGTAAAGAACCTTTTGGCAAGCCCCGTGGCTGGCTGAGCCAACCCCCTTCTCCTTTGTCTTGAGACCACAATGGTTGGGAAAGCTACATCCTTCCTGCCTCCTTCCCCCTTTTCCTCCCTTCACCTAACAGGTATTGATTGATTGTTTGCTGTTTGCTAGGCACTGATGATACCATGGTGAACAAGACAAAGTGCCTGCTTTCATGGGGCTTATAATCTGGTGAGGAGAGATAGACAATAAACAGAAATATAGGTCGGGTGTTGATGAATGTGAAGAAGAAAACCAAAGCATGACAAGGAGATAGAGAGATGGAGAGGGGGATGTGATGCTGTTTTAGCAGGAAGTCAGGGAAAGCCTCTTTGATAAAGTGACAGTTGAAAAAGACCTGATTGAAATGATATGTAAGCCTCAAGGCTATCTAGGGGAAGAAAGTCCCGAGCAGATGGAACAGTATGTGCAAATCCCAGAGGAGGGAACTTCTGGACTTGCTTAACGAAGAGCAAAAGGGCCAAGAGACTGATGTGAAGTAGGGAGGAAGTGGTAGCTGATGAGTCAAAGAGATTGCCTGAAGTTGATCATGTCAGGCTTTATAGACCAAAGTCAGGGCTTAGAGTTTTGTTGTGAATAAAGATCAGAAGTCATCGGAGGCTTTTGAGAACAGTGACATGATGTGACTAGCAGTTTTAAAGCCTCACTCTGCCTGCTGTGTGGAACATGGGCTGTGGAGAAGCAGAGTTGAAGCAGGCAGACCTGTGAGGAGATTGTTGCAGTAGTCCAGTTGAGAGATGGTGGTGTGAGACATGATTGGATTCTGGAGATATCCAGAAGGCAGAGCTGGAAAGATTTGCTGATAGATGGTTGTTGAGTATGGAAATAGAGAGGAATGAATTTGCCATTGATTGTGCTGGGGAAGACTGGAGGAGTTTTTAGGGGATGATCAAGAGTTTGGTTGTTGAACTTGAGATGTTCATTAGACATGCAAGTGGAGATGTTGAGAACCCAGTGAGCCATATGAGTGTGGAATTCAGCGGAGAGGCCCAGGGTAGAATACAAATGTAGGAGTTGGCAGTGCTTAGTTATGTAAAGCTATGAGACTGGGTGGGATTGCCTAGGAAAGTATAGATAAAGAGATCCAAGGGCCGGCCGAGTGGCACGATGGTTAAGAACTGGCTTGGGACGCCAGAGGGCCCCGGTTCGGATCCCACATATGAGGGCCAGTGACACTGCCCTCTACA